CAGGTCACATTTCAGTTATCTTGGCTTTATTAAATGCAATCAAAACTAACATTAAAACATAGAAGGCTACTAAATTTTTCCTCTCACAGTGACCAGAACTGAACAATGAGGCTTTAAAGACTTGTTTTATAGATAAGAGATGAAATATGGGAAGAAGAGATCATTTGTTGTATTTTAAGAGAAGGTGATACATTACTAAAATTGTTTATACTTGTTGTTATGAAGCGGGAAGTAACTTCTTCATATATTTATTTTTTTCTTTACTATATTCTTATTCTTATTTTATTTTCTATTTTTCCCTTCTTTTCTGCACGTTCATTATATTCTTTTATATTTTTTGTTTATATTAGTTCTTATCTTTTTAATTATAATTTTTAATAAAATTACTATAAAAATTCATTGACTTGCTTTAGCTTTTCATCATTTATATCCAATATGCAATTATTCATTCCATTTTTCCTGTCAAACACAACTCCCTTGCTCTTTTGTACATTCACTTTTAGGTCTACATTCAGTTTAGGTTTGCATGGTTTGGCAGGAGCCAGCCTGAGTGGCAGAAAGCAGGGCAAGGAATAATGGGCTTAAATTACAAGAAAGTTTATGGTGGTGGCGCATCAGGAAAATGTTCCTGGTTACATAACAGGGGGACCAAGTGCCTTGGGGGCTGGCCGAGTCTTCTTCCCTGGAGGTGTTGAATCAGGGACTCGACGGCTGTCTATCAAGGATGCTACAGTACAGGATTCCTGTGCTAGGCTTCTGACCCTGACATTCACCGATTCTGCATCCCAACCAATATACCTCTTAGGTCACCGCAAGCATTCCTATACGTTTATCCATAGGTACGCTAAACAACCAAGGGGACATCAGTGTCCTGGTCTTATTCTCTGCTCAGCGTTGAACCGTTTGCTAAGCATTCCGTTCTTTTCACCGAGGCTCCACTTCCATCGTAGACCACTCCTCTTGCGTTCAGCAATCAACCTTAACATGCATGAAAACATTCCATAATCCAAACCATGTTTACTTTATTATACATCACACATCTCTATATCAAGAAATGCAGAATAAACTTTCTCACAGTCCCAAGTTCCCCAGTGACTGACTGATGAGCAAAAATCTGGCTTGCATGCCCTCTGCCCTTACAAAGCTGGACCACATTTCCCAAATCTTACCCATTCTCACCTCCTGTGCAAACTCATGCCATGCAAACTAATTGTCAGCCCCTGTAGTTTTTGCATTCACGCTGCACAGGGGAACAAAAATAGCATTCTTCCAATCTTTAGGCACAGATACACCTTTCACACACCTATTGAACAAGCAACATGACCACTCTGTAAGCAAACCACATCCGTGTTTTAACATTTCTCCAGTTACCTTATCTACTTCTCCAGCCTTACCCATTTTTCAGCATGCTGATCCATTTTTTTCATCAATACTAAGACTTTTAGCCTTCATTTCGATTCCACTCTTTGACATATCACTCTCATTCCCATACAAATTTGGAAAACACTTCTTTCAGCATTCCTTCTCTTGGCTTTACCCCCAAACTATTCATCACTTTCATTTTTAAAACAAGTTTTTGTTTCCGTCAAAACTGTTCCGCATTTTCTCTGCCTCTTTTAATCTTAAACCATTCCCTGCTCTGACTGCATTCTTTGCAACTTTCTCTTTCTAAACACATTATACAATAACTTTCTCCTTTTCTGCAGCAATCATTGTTATATGCATTTTCCCTCATCCCATTTTATTTCATAATTCCCCCAAACATCCTTTTTCATACTTCCCATTAACGTAGCTCTACAAACTTCTGTGACACTCTGTCACACAATTCTCTTCACTCTGTTCTGAGCAGCATCCACATTCTTTTTCCTTATGTCCATTTTCAGCTCATTCTTGTGAAAGATTAAGCCATCACATATTTTTCATTCCTGCACATTCTACTTTCTCTTCTTCTATGACCTGCTCTTGACATCACCAAGAAATGCTCTGTCCCAAATTCAGAACTTCTCCTCACTCTTGTATCGCTCACTAATTCTCCCATCGTGCTTTCCAGTTCATTCCTTTTGTATATGTGTGCATGAACAGACTTGCTCAAGCCATGTATTTGGAACAAAGAGACCTTTTCCATAAGCAGAGCCTCACCAAGCAGTCCTCATTCTCCTTCCTTCTTCGGTCTCCAAATGGCCATCAGGGCTGCACTTTCTTATCTCATTCCTACCCATCCATTTATGTCCCCTAGCAGACTAATTTTCCCTCATATCAGATGCATTTAGGTGTCCTCCCAGCCTGCCCGGGGCTGAGGACAGCCATGGATTGCAATGGAGCCCTCCTGGACAAGCACCCTGCCCTGCCCATCTAGCTGTGATGGCAGGAACAGAAGGGTGGACCAGAGTGGTAAAGCAATGACAGTTCCCATCAGCCCCACACCTCTGGGTCCATTATCAGGCACAAGGGCAGTTTCAGGGCAACCCATCTGGACACCTCCATGCTGTGCCTACCGTTTACACGATGTTGGCAGAGCCGGTCCAAGGGCATTCTGGATCCAGAAGGCACGGGGCCCCCTTCTAGGCAGCCCTTTCTTAGCAAGGGTGATGGAGCACCTCAGCAGACATGGAGAGAGAAAGTGCTTCTGAATAAGAACCAAGTGCTTCCCAAGAGCTGAAGTTGGGAGAAAAGTCTCCCAGGAGGCAGAAGCCCTGATGCTTGGGCTCCCTTCCCTCTTAAAATTAAAATGAAAGTGACTGGGTGGCGGGAATCAACTGGAAAGGCCTTTGTCTGCTCTTAACTGGTTCTGAAGGGTGTCTATCACTCACCAGCAAAACAAGGGGCTGGAGGATGGGGATAGGCAGGCCACTTCCCCCGGCCCCTCGGTGGGACTTCTTTGCTCCTAGGTCCTGTACAGCCCCTCTGCCCGAGCAAAGCTGGAGGAGGGGCAGCGAGCCTCTTACGCTTAGCCAGAGGAACGGGCAAGGAGCAGAGAAACAGAGGACGCTAGGACCCCTCCCCACTCCGGCTCCATTGTCTGCTGCCTGGCGAGGATGGGAGAGGCGGCACTAGGGCCCGGCAGGCCTCACCGCGGACCGGCTTCTTCTATTGTCTCGCCTTCGCTCCGCTCAGCGCGGGGAAAGTCACCCGTTTCTAGCGGATCTTGATCCTTCTCAGGGACGGATCGTGGCGTAGCGCTGCGAGCTCTACGGCGCTTGCAAGGGCTTCTCTCTCCCCGGTCTTTGCGCCTTTCACCTCGCGGGATGGGGATGCTGCTGCTCCTGCTGGCTCTGAGCGCGCTTCTTTGTTCCGCTGCTGTCGGAGAGGCTCGTGGGGCTCGGAGCTGCGCCGAGACCCGGCAGGCGCTGGCGAGC